GAGGAGGGGGGAGAGGGGGGAGGAGGGGGGAGAGAGAAGGGAAGAGTGGGGGAGAGAGGGGAGGAGGGAGGAGGTGCAGAAGAGGGGGATGGAGCGAAGAGAGGAGTCGGGTCGAGAAAGGGGAGAGAAACGCGGGGGGGGGGGGGGGGGGGGGGGGGAGAACTAGCAGCTTTATCAGGTGGGTGTGAGGCAGCACAGTAGCGAATACAAATGAGCAGGCAGGCATGCATGTGGTGCAGTCAGCGTTTCTCCACATAAGAGGCTTTTGGGTATCCTCCCAAGAGTGCAGTGTAGTGCACTCACTGTTGAGAGAATGAGCGCCTGCAGCTTGGCCAGGTGCGTTGAGTTGAATTTTGAGGCGCATCAAAAATAAAAAAAATATCCGGTCGGCTCACGTCCTCTTTGTCGTTAAGTTGCCCGTTTGAGAACGTATGAGGCGTCTCAACACATGGATTGCCATTTGGGAGACGACTCTTGCAGTGAATGAAATGAATGGGGCATGTGGGGCACTCCAGGAACTCGCTCACCTGTCCCACATGCCCCATTCACTCACTGCAAGAGCATGCATGTCCAGGCCATTTAGATAGAGTGAGCGAACTCTCAACTTGCCGTCCAGCTGGATGGAGCATGCATGCATTTGGACAAATGTTCAAATGGCATTACGAAAGCTCACCTGTCCGGGCCATTTGGACTGAGTGAATCCAAGGATTGTGTTGTCTGCTGGTGTGAAGCGTATGAATTCTTTTGAGCCGCCTCCAACGCAGGAACTCACCTGTCCGGGCCATTTAGACTGAGCGAATTCAAGAATTGTGCTATCTGCTGCAAAGAGTATGAAGTGGCGGATCAGCCCCACCCGCTCCAGATGCAGCACCCAGTTTTTCAGCATGTCCTCGAAACCTGCAGTGGCACAGTGATGGGTAATAGGGTTACAGGGTAACCGAGTAACAGGGTAACAGTGAACTCGGAGCCTTCTGGCGCATCTTAACGCGCTCACATGCAGCACCCAGTTCTCCAGCATGCCCTCAAAACATGGTCACCCCACGGCGACAGGGAATGAGGGTAAGAGGGTAACATTGCCCGGCAGGAATGGGGATGCTAGTCTACTCAGAAGCCCCACACACCTGCGGTCCTCAAAAGTAAGCATACAACCGTAGCCCTGGCCAGCATACAGGCGAACAAACTTTTAAGTTAACTCAAAAGTCAGGCGCGTTAACAATTGGGGATGATTGTTGACTCAGAAGCCACAGCACACACACCTGCGGTCGTTAAAAGTAAGCATACTGCCGTAGTCCTGGCCAGGCCAGCATACAGGCTGGTGACCACCAATGCAATTACATTGACTGGATGCAACATGGACGACTCACCATTTCACGTAGCGACAGGGTAACAGGGTAACAACACGAAGAAAATCCAGTGAAGAGGGAAGCAGGAAAGAAGTTTTCGTTTATTCAGCATGTCTCGAAGGTCGGAAGCAGGGTAACATGGGAAAACGAAGACAGTAACCTGGTAACGGAATATTGGGGAATGGCGGACAGGAGAATTAAGCGAACTATCATCACACCTGCATTGGACAACGCGATAATGATGGTCCCGTTTAGTGAGAGGCGGCTGGCCATGTCCCATAGCGTGCCGAGCTTCTCATGAAGCTCGCCGAGGCCGCCGTCTTCTGTCAGGCGACGACGGACTGGTTCGCGAAGGGGTTCGCGAGTAGGTTTGGCGAAGAAGCAGGCGACGAAAAGGGTGCTGAGAAAAAAATGCGACAAGGAGGAGAAGAGAGGAGCGGAAGAGACACTGACAGGAAAACGACGAGGTTTGGTGCACAGGTGGCAACTGCTTTACTGTGGCTGAAAGATCCATCCTTAACAAAACTTGCCGGATCGCAAAATGCCGAGAGGCTTGTGCGATTTAGTGGATGCAGGCGTTGTAGTATGAGGTCGTATCCCTGCCTAGTGTCAAGAAGTTGGTGTCAAGAAGTTAGCGCACGCGATTGGTCCAAAGAAGACGCTTGACCAATCGCATTGGCCAAACGTCTTCTTTGGACCAATCGCGTGCGCTAACTCCTTGACACCAACTTCTTGACACTAGGCAGGGATACGACCTAAAGGAAACGACTTTATGTTGTAAGTGAACTGAATGTGTGGCATGGAAACCCATTGCTATTGCGTCTGGACTGAAATAGGCTGCATGAGGAACCAGTAGGCAAAGAATGTGGATGGATATTACAGCAGCTGGCAAATTCCACATAGTACTGTTCAACCGGGATGGGGTGGGGTGGGGTATGAAGGAGGATACGATGTGCACAGCTGGGGAAATTCTGACGTTCCACACTGCTTGACAATGCTTCGATTGCGAATGTGATGTACAGTACGCATGTTCCGCACACGTATTGTTAAAGGGGGATTTACTGTTCCCTTTGAACAGTACTTTCCCAACCCATCCAAGTCACCCTTATCCTTATCTTCTCAGATTCTCTAGTGCCACGTGGCACTCTACTTTTCTTGCACTACAATTCTTGGTCCCACAATCCACTTTCCAACCTTGTTTCTTGCATGCTATATAAACCTTGCTTGTATTCCCTCATATCAACCAATTCTCATTCAACTCTTCTTCAATTACTCAGTAACTCCTTCGCCTATTTCGCTAGTAGTTCTTTCGCCAAAGTCTTCCGCCGCGCTTCATCCTCGACTTAGTCGACCCCGCTAATTCCTTAGCGGACTTAGGCCAGCGGGCCTAACACGTGTTGTGCGTACATATGTTCCGTACCCGAAACCGTGTGAAGCGGAGCAATTTCACATGGGTTCAGTACGGTGGCGAGCCATTTTAAGATAACCCAGCCCACCAACCACGCCGACAGTGACCGTTGGTGATCTGCTCGCGCTTTCCAGCTGGTCAAAGAGTGACAGCCACCAGCCGCCGCCAGTCACGGCGAACGTCTGGAAAATTGATACTTGCCATCGTCGTCATCTAGAGCGAAATATGTCACGTGCCTCGAGGCGCGCTTCCCTCACGAGCAAACCGTCCCATACGCGTTACCGCGAACAGCAGATGCGTAGTAGTGAAACCGCACTCGAGGCCGAGATAGTCGAAAGAAGGGACTTTCCACGGCTACGACTCAATCAACTGTCTTAGCTGCGCACAGGTTGCTACGTCCGATTTCAGGCATCACACGGATGTCGCCGGCTCGAGGCCAAGGGCGCACGTCATTTGCGTTGCAGATTCTTTTTGACAATTCTCAGGTGGATTCTGAGTCGACTCAAAAGTCACCTGAAAAAGCACCTGCAACGAAATGGACTCAAGGACGACAAGCGCGCATTTCATTCGCGCCAGAACTCTCTACACGACGCTTGGCACGTGTCGGAGTTGATCCGTCAGCCATACAAAATCCCCCACGTGCGCTGAGACCGTCGTCGTTCTCCTGTCAACGAATCTTCCGTTCCTCTCTCACTTTCCTCTTCGCAATTCTTCTCGGCAATCATTTCGTCGCATGCTCCTTCACCGAACCTGTTCGCGAACCCTTTCGCGAGCCCCTTTGCGAACCAGTCCGTCGTCGCCTGGCAGGAGTCGGCCTGAGCGATCTTCACGAGAAGCTCGGCGCGCTATGGGACATGGCCAGCCGTGTCTCGCTTAAGGAACTGTCATTATCGCGTCCTCGAATGCAGGTATGCCCTAGAATGAAATTGGGTGAGTTTATATAAGGCCCTTTATAATCACGTGGCCATGTGGCCCTCGTTACAAGGATATCGTAATAGCTGGGATTGGAAGGTTTTTGCCTTCCGCGTACTTGTGCGTTGCATGCCACTTAACTACCATTCTTGGTGGGATCAATCCCTTTGCCCTAGTACCCTGTCACCCTGTAACCGCGCGCCGCGGGGCTGGCACACAGGCTATGAGGACATGCTGCAGAGCTGGGAGCTGTGCTGCTGCATCTGAAGGCGTTTGACTCCGCTTTTACCCTGTCACCTTGTTAACATGTTACCCTGTTACCACATCACCGTCCACTGCAAATACGAGGACATGCTGGAGACTTGGATGCTGCATCTGAGGGTGTGAGTTGCACTGCACCTGAGGACGCTAAGTTGAATGTTACCCTGTTATCCTGTCGCCCTGTTGCGCTGTCGCTACGTCAGGCTATGAGGACATGCTGGAGAACTGGGTGCTGCATCTGCAGCGGGTGGGGCTGGGTCAACACTTCATAGTCTTTGCTGCCGACAGCAAGAGCCTCGAATTCGCCCACTCCAAGTGGCCCGGCCAGGTGAGGCGCTGAGAATTGTGTTTTGATTTGAGTCGGTGAATGAGAGGCCTTCAAAAAGTGGTACCTGGTTAGGTTACTGCTGGTTCCATGTTGGTTGCTGGTAAATGGTTACTGGTAGTTGGTAACTGTACACTTAAATCGACAGTTCAAGGATTTTTGCTCAGTCTAGGTTTTTGGCACTGGTCAGGTCAATCTCCTTATTCGTTCACCCATCCCCCTTATAACCTCCTCTCTCGCTCGCCCGTCCCCACTCCCCCAGGCCATGCGTCTCGACCTGAGTCGTCAGTTCGACGTCGAGGGGAGGGCAGGCGTGGAGGGGGTATCATGCATCGGGTTAAACCCCAGTCACACTCCTTCATACCCCTATACCCTCCTCTCGTCCCTCCCCGTCCCCGCAGGCCATACATCTCGACCTGAGCGGGCAGTTTGGTCAAGAGGAGAGGGCGGACGTGGAGGGGGCATCGGTCATCGGGTCAGCCGCCTTCCACCGCGTGGCCTCCCACAGAGCCATCTACATCCACCACCTCCTCTCCTTTGGCTTCTCCGTGCTCTCCTTGCCACCCTCCCTGTCCTGCAGACCCTTGTTCTCGACTCCTTCCCTCTCTCACAACTCCCTCTCTCACAACTCCCTCTCTCACAACTCCCTCTCTCACAACTCCCTCTCTCATAGCTTTCTCTCTCACAGCTTCCTCTCTCACAGCTTCCTCTCTCTCACACCCCCCTCTCTCACGCACACCCATTCCCGCAGGCCATACATCTGGACCTGAGCAGGCAGTTTGGTCAAGAGGAGAGGGCGGACGTGAAGGGGGCATCGTGAATTGGGTCAGCCGCCTTTCACCGCGTGGCATCCCACCGCGCCATCTACATCCACCACCTCCTCTCCTTGGCTTCTCCTTGCTCTACAGCGATATCGACATCGCCTTCCTCCACAACCCCCTCCCTTTCTTCAAAAAACCCGACCCAAATAACATCGAGTAAGGTTCTGCTTGATTTTTTTTTTTTTTAGTGGTCTTTTACAGGAACGGGAATTCACAGCTTCGTTTCCTCTAGCTGCTGCAAGCGTTTTCTAAGCTTCAGATTTGCTTGCTGCTCTGCTCTGCTCTTCCGCGATTAGTGAAGTGAAGAAGACCCTTGGGACCTTGATTGAATACATTATTTATCACCTTCTCTCTTTCCTCTTCTACATTTACCACCTTGCTGCTCTCCTTTGGCTTCTCCGTGCACTACATCGACATTCCAACCGACCCGGCCCCCTCCCCTTCTTCCATTCCAACCGAACCGACCCCCTCCTTCCCGCCTCATCCCTCCGAACCCCTATCAGCAGCGGCAGTGGCGGCGGCAGCAGCGACAACGGCAGTGGCTTAGATGCCGAAAGTATCAGCGATTTCGACATGTTCATCACGCACGACCGCTCGATGCCGCAGCCGTCGCCCTACACAGACCCCATCGACCCCAACCTCCTCAACGGCCTGCCCCTCTTCTGCAGCTGCTTCCTCTTCTTCCGCCCCACGCTCCCCGCCAAAAGCATCGTCGGCAACTGGGCGTATCGCATGGCAAAGCTAGGCCGGCAGGGAGGGTTGGATCAGGATCAGCTGAACCTAGTCATGCAGTGGATGCTTGAAGGGAAGGTGCTTCCGAGGATCGGTGTGCTGCCGCCGCTGCAGTTCCCGTCTGGGCAGCTGATGAATGAGCACTGGGGGAAGTTTGAGGAGGTGCGGCCAAGAGTGGTTATGGTTCATGCGAATTATCTCACTGGGAAGGAGGCAAAGATCAAGGGGCTGAAGAAGGCGGGTCTGTGGCGGGTGAAGGTGAAAGAGCATGACAATACGACTGCTGCTGCAGCTGGTGATGCTGCTGCTGCTGCTGCTGCTGCGTCTGAGGCTTCTGCTGCTGCTGCTGCTTCGGCTGGGAAGGGGAAAGGGGGTAATGACAAGGAGGATGCAGGAGTAGAAGGGGACGAGGAAGAAGAAGAGGAGAAGGAGGAGGAGGATGAGGAGGAGGAAGAGCCAGTGCTGCTGTTCCCACTGCCCAGACGCCCGGATGAGGCTGGAGAGCAGGACAGGTTTGAGGAGGCCCCTGGGATGCCGGAGACAGGGAGAGACGAGAGCAGCGCAAGGGGGCAGGGCAAGGGGGCAGGGCAAGGGGGGGGAGGCCCGGGTGGGAGAGGCGCTGGCGGCAGGAGGCGGAGGAGGGGGAGCGTCAGGGGGAAGCGGTGGAGAGGGAGGGGGGGATTGGGAGGCGGAGGTAATGGCAGCAGTAGAGCCTTGGGTTGGGGAGCATTTGGGGGAGTTGGAGGGGAAGGGGACGCGGATCAAGGGCGCTGCTGGCATGGTGATTGTTACAGTCACCTGCGATGGTGCGTTGGTGATTGCTAGATTGTGGGTAGGAGGGGTATGCAGCAGCAGCATGTATGCATGGGGGGGGGAGTCTGCTTTTGAGTCGACTCAAATGCAGCATGTATGTATGCATGGGGGGGGGAGTATATGGGGAAGGGGACGCAGATCAAGGGGGCTGCTGGCATGGTGATCGTCACTGTTGCCTGCGATGGTGCGTTGCTGTCTGTTAGAGAGATGTGTTTTCTGGATTGGTGCAGCATGCATGCATGAGAGGGGGGGGGGGAGCATGTGGGAAAATTGCAGGAATGAGGGATGCAGGTCATAGGGGCTGCTGGCATGGTGATCACTCCCACATGGGCGGCATCACTCTCACATGGGCGGCATCACTCTCACATGGGCGGCATCACTCCCACATGGGTGGCATCACTCCCTCCTCCCTCGTATATTGTACCACCCTCTTGTTGCTGCCTCACCCATCCCTTTCGCATGCCGGATTCCCTTCTTTCCCCCCACCATTCCCTCCCCCCCCCACTTTCCCTTTCAGGCCAAGAGGCATTATTCCGCAACTTCTTCACCCACATGGGTCGCATTTCTCCCTTGACCAGCCTCGCCCATGCCTCGCCCATGCCTCGCCCATGCCTCGCCCATGCCTCGCCCATCCCTCGCCCATGCCTCGCCCTTGCCTCGCCCATGCCTCGCCCATGCCTCGCCCATGCCTCGCCCATGCCTCGCCCATGCCTCGCCCATGCCTCCCCTATGCCCAATCCCCTCCCCGGCCCCCTCTTCAGGCCAGGAGGCGTTATTCCGCAACTGGTTCACCCACATGGGTCGCATCCCTGTTTCCCCACCATCGCCTGCCCGCGCCCCCCCTCTCTCCCCCTCTCTCTCCCCTCTCCTCCCTGTTTTTTCAGGCCAGGAGGCGTTGTTCCGCAACTGGTTCACCCACGTGGGCCGCATCCCTTCTCTCGGCAACATCGTACTCGCTTCCGTGCCTCCTCAGGTGAGTGCCTCCTCAGGTGATTGCCTCCTCAGGTGAGTGCCTCCTCAGGTGAGTGCCTCCTCAGGTGAGTGCCTCCTCAGGTGACTGCCTCCTCAGGTGACTGCCTCCTCAGGTGAGTGCCTCCTCAGGTGACTGCCTCCTTAGGTGACTGCCTCCTCAGGTGACTGCCTCCTCAGGTGACTGCCTCCTCAGGTGAGTGCCTCCTCAGGTGACTGCCTCCTTAGGTGACTGCCTCCTCAGGTGACTGCCTTCTCAGGTGACTGCCTCCTCAGGTGACTGCCTCCTCAGGTGACTGCCTCCTCAGGTGACTGCCTCCTCAGGTGACTGCCTCCTCAGGTGACTGCCTCCTCAGGTGACTGCCTCCTCAGGTGAGTGCCTCCTCAGGTGACTGCCTCCTCAGGTGACTGCCTCCTCAGGTGAGTGCCTCCTCAGGTGAGTGCCTCCTCAGGTGAGTGCCTCCTCAGGTGACTGCCTCCTCAGGTGACTGCCTCCTCAGGTGAGTGCCTTCTCAGGTGAGTGCCTCCTCAGGTGAGTGCCTCCTCAGGTGACTGCCTCCTCAGGTGAGTGCCTCCTCAGGTGAGTGCCTCCTCAGGTGACTGCCTCCTCAGGTGACTGCCTCCTCAGGTGAGTGCCTCCGCAGGTGAGTGCCTCCTCAGGTGAGTGCCTCCTCAGGTGAGTGCCTCCTCAGGTGACTGCCTCCTCAGGTGAGTGCCCTCTCAGGTGAGTGCCTCCTCAGGTGAGTGCCTCCTCAGGTGAGTGCCTCCTCAGGTGACTGCCTCCTCAGGTGAGTGAGATTGAGAATAAGAGCGCCCTTCGATTTTGAGATGCCTCAGGTGGGTGGGTGAGCACCATTCCAGTGAGACTTTTCAAACTTCCTCCTGAGGCAAGTGAGAGCAAGAGTGAGAGTGCCCTTCAATTTCTCACACGCCTCAGGTGAGTGCCATTCCAGCCAGTTCCCACTCGCCTCAAGTGAGTGTTGTTGTAGTTCTCACACTGCTCCTCAGGTGACTGCCGTTCTAATTTCCGCGCCCTCTGCTGAGTGCCGGTCTACCCAGCAGAGGGTGTGAGTGAGGTGAGGGGTCACCTCACCTCACACCCTCCTTGCAGAAGCACACCCAGAAGCGCACGCCAGGAGGGTGAGGGGTCACACCCTCCTTACAGAAGCGCACGCCAGGGGGGCACTTGATTTTCTCCGCCGCATGATCATCCCCTCATCTCCGGTCTCGTCGCGTCACCCCTCAACTGAATATGCAGATGCGCACACCAGGGGGGCATGTGATTACTCACCCCGATGAGCACTTGCCACCCAAGGGAGAACACGACTTTTGAGGCGCCTCAAAAGACACCAAGGGGGCATGTGGTCACACGGCCCGATGAGAGCTTGTCACCCAAAGGGAGAACACGTTTCCCATGCTTTGAGACGTCTCAAAAATTTCCCATGCTCTTCTCCTGCAGATGCGCACACCAGGGGGGCATGTGATTACTCGCTCCGATGAGAGCTTGTCACCCAAAGGGAGAACACGTTTCCCATGCTCTTACCCGGCCGTCTATCAAGCTCTTCGACAGCTCATGCTCTTCTCCTACGCTCTTACCCTGTGATCCTCCCCTCTCTCCTGTCTCGTCTCATCACCTCACCCCTCAACTCAACCTGCAGATGCGCACACCAGGGGGGCATGCGATTACTCACTCCGATGAGAGTGTGTCACCTCGAGTGGCCACAGCCACGTGCCTGCTGCTCAACTCTCTCCTGAAACTTTTCTCCCCTCAACTCTCAGATGCGCACGCCAGGCGGCCATGTGATTACTCGCTTCAGTGAGAGCGTGTCACCTCGAGTGGCCAGAGCCACGTGCCTGCTGCTGCCGTCCCTGTTGAGCCGTCTTCTGGCCTCCCCTCCTCTTTTCCAATGTCCCCCCGCCATGCAGATGCGCACGCCAGGCGGCCATGTGATCACTCGCTCCAGTGAAAGCTTGTCACCTCGAGTGGCCAGAACCACGTGCCTGCTGCTGCCGTCCCTCATCCTCGCCTGCTTGCTGGCCGCCAATGTCACTGTTGTCTACAGGTACAGTGCACAATGCTGATACAATTCAGTTATTATAATAGCTTGGCCTCATTGTCTCCTTATCCTCCTCGCGTGCCTGCTGGCTGCCAATGTCACTGCTATCTACAGGTACAGTGCACTGTGCTCCTAGGTTGCTGCTACAGCGACAGATGCAGTGTGCAATGCTGCTAGGTTGCTACACGTGCAGGTTCAGACTGTGCAGAGAGTGGCGATTAGTGTGCTCTCGGACATGTAGTATGTATCACCTCATTGCGTGGTGCTGTTGTAGTATGTGCTGTTGTAGTATGTGCTGTTGTAGTATGTGCTGTTGTAGTATGTGCTGTTGTAGTATGTGCTGTTGTAGTATGTGCTGTTGTAGTATGTGCTGTTGTAGTATGTGCTGTTGTAGTGTGTGCTGTTGTAGTGTGTGCTGTTGTAGTGTGTGCTGTTGTAGTGTGTGCTGTTGTAGTGTGTGCTGTTGTAGTGTGTGCTGTTGTAGTGTGTGCTGTTGTAGTGTGTGCTGTTGTAGTGTGTGCTGTTGTAGTGTGTGCTGTTGTAGTGTGTGCTGTTGTAGTGTGTGCTGTTGTAGTGTGTGCTGTTGTAGTGTGTGCTGTTGTAGTGTGTGCTGTTGTAGTGTGTGCTGTTGTAGTGTGTGCTGTTGTAGTATGTGCTGTTGTAGTATGTGCTGTTGTAGTATGTGCTGTTGTAGTATGTGCTGTTGTAGTATGTGCTGTTGTAGTATGTGCTGTTGTAGTATGTGCTGTTGTGGGGGGGAAGAGTGCTTTCGCACTGTACTTCGCCAATCTCTTCTGACACGTTTCCACACGACCGACGCTCGCGATCATTTTCAACGACATCGACGGCTTCACATTCATCGTACTCTGACAACGCGTCAGCACTCCCGCCAATATCTCGTCCATCTCTATCGTCCGTTTTCATATCCGCCACATCAACGCTTTTCACTCATCGGCGGATTTTCAATTCGACATTCGTTTTCAACCGCCCGATCGACATCGGCAATATCGGCGGCTGACATTCCAACTCTGAATTCCGCCTGGTCAACGCGCTCAGCCACGCGTCAACTCGAAAGTCAATGTGCATTCGGCACCGTCAGATCAGTTTCGAACGAGATCTGCAGTTTTCATGCTACTGCAAGACTCGACTACAGATATCTAGAAGGTGGAAGAGTGTAATGAATATACATTCATTACTGTAGAGGCTGCTCCTAGCGAGGACAGCCCGAACTGTTCGCGTCAGTTTGGGTTCAGCCTACACTTCCGTACCGAACCAACGCCGAGTCGCCTCGCACCAATTGCGACATTTCCGAGCCACACAAATCTAGAGGTTCTCGCCTAGCTAGTTTTCGCCCTACATATTTTCGCTTTCTTCATTATTTCGACATTATGTAATCACGATCTCTTTATTAAGTCTTCCGCGCACTCTTCTTAGTACAACTCATAACATGAATACACTGCTGGTTACTCATCTATATCACTGTTGGTGAGAGATGATTATTGTTAATCAATCAACCGTACCAAGGATATTGCAAAAAAACTTGAAAGAAAGAAACATATCAACCGAGACACATCCAATTTCTTCAACTACAATGGCCACCTTGTCATGGCGGGAATTTTGAGTCATCAGAAGTCACCATGGCTCCACCCTGGGGCTTTATTGGACAAAATCCAGCCAGGTTGATGAATCTTCAACCAATCATCCCAGATCCCATGCACTCCATTTTGACCGATGGTCACGCCTTGCCAGGACACAGTACAGCCATGGCAGCAGCAATGATTACAAGTTACAGCCACAGCTTCATGTCTCGAAGACAAACCTCTTGCTGCCTGCCGTCCTCCCCACAGCTCACCTGCAAGGCCACTATCTCCTTCCTATGCGCCTCCAGCCATGCCCTATCCCCCACCGCCCTCCACCCAGGCGGGAATAACTTCTCTGACAGCACCCCCACGCTTGCCCCTCTTTGCCCCTCTCCTGCATCTCCCGTACCTCCTCCCATACCTGCTTCCGTACCCTCTTCCTGACCTGCTTTCGTAACTTCTCCCACACCTGCTTCCGTACCTCCTTCCGAACCTCCACCGAGCCCATCCTCCTCGACTCCCATGAGCCTCGCTCCTCGAACCATCTCAGCCACAGCGTGATTCAGCGCCGTGCTAAGAATCTCCAAACCAGAAAACACGCCCGAACCACCCCTTGCTGCTGCCGCACCTGCTGTCACATACCCCCTTAAAGCCCCAACCGCCCAGCGGTGCACCATGGCTTGCACAGCAGAAGAGGGGCGAAGAGCCATGAGCCACGGAGAGAGGGACCCTAGAAGGGGTGGCGTGAGGGCGGTGGTGTTGGGGGGTGCAGGTGCCTCTGCCTGTTGCCTGCTCTCTGCTGCCCCTTGTGCTGGTGGTGCGTCTAGCTGCTGGTGCTGCTGCTGAGGTGGGACTTGGTGGGAGAGGGATGGCAGCACGAGGGAGTGGGATGGTGGGAAGTAGCGGCGGGGGTCCCGCAGCCACACTGAGTTGATGTCGCTGGGAGAAGAGGGGGGCGCATGGGGGAGGGGAGAGGAAAGTGACACAGCCACAGCGAGTTGATGTCGCTGGGAGGACATGGAGGGGAGGGCGCAGGGTGTGGGGGAGTGGGGCGAGGTGACGAAAGAGTGAAGAGACGTATGGGAAAATAGAATGATGGTGGGACGTAGGCCAATTTTGAGGCGCCTCAAAACTAGCGAGGTGACGACAGAGTGAAGAGACGTATGGGATAATAGAATGATGGTGGGACGTAGGCCAATTTTGAGGCGCCTCAAAACTAGCGAGGTGACGACAGAGTGAAGAGACGTATGGGAAAATAGAATGATGGTGGGACGTAGGCCAATTTTGAGGCGCCTCAAAACTAGCGAGGTGACGACAGAGTGAAGAGACGTATGGGACAATAGAATGATGGTGGGACGTAGGCCAGCCAGAGCAAGTTGATGTTGCTGAGAGGACAGGAGGATGCAGGGTTGGGGGGAGGAAGCGAGGGGAAGGAAGGGCAGCGAGAGGGAGAGGGGAGTAGATTGAGAGAAGGACGAGGGAAGGACATGTGGCAAGTGCAGGAGAATGAGGTAGAAATGAAGGGGGAATGATGAACGAATAAGGGAAGAGTGAGGGAGAACTAGGAGAAAGTGGGGCAACAACGAGGTTTTAAACAATTTATGGTCAACATCACAGCACACTAACTACCACTCACCATACAGTCTGTATGTACCTGCACTGGTCGGAACTGCTCACTGCTCGCTGCACCTGCTCTGTGGTGATGTTTGAGTCGACTCAAAAGTCCCTCCATGCGCAACAGCACACGGATCACCACTCACTGTACAGTCTGATCAAGCCGATCACTCACCACTCATGGCACAGCACCACTCAACGAGGTCCAACAGCCTGAGCACCACTCAATGAGGTGGCCAAGAGCACATACTACAACAGCACATACTACAACAGCACATACTACAACAGCACATACTACAACAGCACATACTACAACAGCACATACTACAACAGCACATACTACAACAGCACATACTACAACAGCACATACTACAACAGCACATACTACAACAGCACATACTACAACAACAAGACAACAGCAGCAACTTCCGTACTGCCACGCAGGGGTTTTTGGGGTGGCAGCCAGGGCTGTCGATTGGTTTGGAGCCAGAACTTGAGAGGCTGAGGTGCCCCAAAAGTTGCCCTGAAATTTACGGGCTGAGAGCTAACCTAGCACTTGAAATCAGGGCTACCAGCTTTTTTGCCCTTTCGCTAAGGAAAAACCTACATTTTTTCGGAGCCCGATGCTATCACATCAAGAAATACGTTAAGTAGCCGGCTTGCTGGTCTTAGCGCTATATACTATTTTTCGAAAAGTGGGGGAAGTGGCTGGGAGGAGGCGGGGGAGCGGGTAGGGGAATGGGAGGTAGGGTGTGATAGTATGGGACAATAAGGGCTAGCCGAGGGATCTACACTTGAAATCCGGGTTAGACCCACAACCAGCACTTTACGGGGACGGGCTGCCCTAAAAGCCAACCCTTAAAATTCGGAAGCTAGGCCAAACCCAACCCTTCATGTTCAGGGCATTAAGGGCATTTGCCCTTGAATCGTCAGCCCTGGTGGCAGAAAAATCTCTTGCTGTAGCATCTCTTGCTGTCCAGCTGTTGCCACCCGAAAATAACGGGTTGTCCTTTTGTTGGAATCGAGCAGTTGAAGAACCATCCGAGGACTCCGTCAGTCGTGACCTCGGATCGTTTTGGCGTGTCGTCGGAAGACCGTCGCGAAAATCACGAAGACGTTGTAGCGCATCAGCGACTATTGGCGAGAAAGTTTGGTCACGTAATTGACACGATAAGATTTGAAAGCTCGGTCGAAATACTCGAACTCGCGTGCGGATGACATCAGCACCTTCGGCGACTTTGTCGTAACTCGCCGAGCCATTTGTCGTGATGCTCCGAAAACTCTCGGGCAGAGGCGAAAAACCAGCTGCTGCTCATCCCCCTGATCTCGCAACTATTTTTCCGAAGTTGAACTCGAACTGCCGATGACGTCAGCTGCACTGTCGGCGTTGTCGTGACTCGCCAAAAACTCCCGGGCAGGGGCGAAAACAGTTGTCGTCCCCTCCCTTGACTTTTTGCAAATTTTCGCCAGTGATGTCGCTGGTACCCCCGAACGGAGTCGGAATTAACTGCCAATCTTGTTCCCGTCGGTTTTGCGCGCTTATCCAAGCGCCACTGCATCGCCGCCGTTTCGAATGGAACCGTCGACAGTTGACGCCGAACTCCGCTAAGACCCAGCTCCCAGTACTGCTGCTGAAAACCCGTAAGTGTCGGTGCCGAAAATTCTCGTACATCTTGGTCAGCTGCAGGTTATCCCCTTGAAGAACCGGTGTATCTAGCGTGCCCACCCGTCGCCACTCTCATCGCCTATGGTTAACCACACTAGCAACCCACCAAAAGGAGGCGGTTTTCCATGCGGAACCCAGAGCTGTGGGTCTACCGGGACCGACTTTCACGGAACCTAGCCGGCATCGACACCGCAGATCTCGCTGTATGACTTCCCCAGATGGCCTCAAAATACACCGTAAAACGCGTAAAACAGCTGGCGAGCAGACGTTCACCCGTCTCCCACCGTCGAAATTGCACCCGAAAATCATGGTTGCGGAATCAAGCCCCGAAATATTTTCTGCCTTGTAGGCCCGACATTTCCGCCGTTAACCCTAGTACTCCGACGTTCACCCATTTTCGTACCTGTCAAAATTACTTCGCAAATCCCAGGCATCCTTGGCAATACACCCCTCGCCGTGCCTCCAAGTGTGGGTTTTCTGACCCTTCCGGCGCCCACCGAGTAGACCCCGAAATTCATGGTGGAGTGATGTACGGGCTCCGCCTATCACTCAAGTTGCTTGAAACGGCACCCGCAACTTTCCCTCCTTTTTTGCTTTCGCCCCCCGACAATTTCGCGTGACGTCGTTCACCCAACGTCCGCTTTTGTCGGATGAGGCATTCTTCGTGTTGACCCGTGATTTTTCTGGCGTTCGATGCAGGCGCGAACGCAATCGTAGTCAGAGCGAGTTTATCATATCAAACTCTCAGCCGGCCGCTTCGCTGCCCACCGTGCCTATCACATTTAAAAACTCTACAGCTTCGGGACTCCGTCTTCGCTGCTACACCGCCGTTGGGTAGACCGTTGAAGTTGGAGAAACACCGACAGCTGCCACAATGTCTTCGGTCCCGACATTTTTGGCAGGGAAACTGTTGCTGGTGGTCCTTTTTTGTCGGGGCCAAACAGTGCCGCACCAGGAAAATGTTTCTTGTACGCCCTGCTGTCGAACCAGCGCCACCCACGCCTTTCTAACCAGCACAGGGCTAAACACAGGGCCCCACCTTTGTATCCAGTAGCCAACAGGACTTACGAATTGCCTTCGAGGCTTTTCTGGGCGTGAGGTATGTGAGACGTCAGTAGACTTTGGCCGGTAGGGAGCTCCTTCTGCTACCGCCGCTTAGCCGTGAATCTTGGCCTCAGCAAAAAGTCGTCGCAGTAGGTCGTTTTCTCCCCTCCTGAAGCTCGGAATCCGTTTCTCTCGCCAGACCCGTATTTGTCGCAACTCCGTTTATTGTAGCCGGTAGACCAGGCGAAATTCGCGGGTCTAAACGCTGCGCCAAACCGTTGTCCCGTCGGTGTACTGCCCTGTCTGCGGCGCAACTTCCCTTGATCAGGGTGAACCTTTGCCGCCTGAAGTACAGTGTCGGCTGCTGCTGTTGCTCCGAAAATTTCGGCCGACGTTGTTGCAGGCGCAGAAGTGACCCTAACGAAAACAGTCTAGTCGTAGGCGGCCTTTTCCGATCTTTTCAGCGGTTTGAAAATAGCTTCCGTCCCACATTGTGCCGCTCTTGCCGAAAACGCCAACGACGCACCCTCCTGTAGCCACACCGGCCACACCCGGGCTGGACGACGGTAGACCCCCGCTTTCTTCGGGCAGTCGTCACGCCGTCTCTCCGCGTCGTTGCATTCTTTGACGCAAATCACCATGCGCCTGGCTGCTCGCACAGCAGTCGTTTTCCACGTGCTGCTACCCGAAATCTTCGCGCACAGTGACGACGCATGTCACTTGCCGAAGACCTCCAGCGGACTTATGCGCAACGTGACGAAGAAGCTCGACGCCACTTGCTGCATGCAATCCACTCCGAGATTGTCGCGCAGTTGTCGACCACGTGCCGACGCCACTCGCACGATGGACTTGCTTCCGACAACTTCGGACGTGCGCCGAGGACGAGCCTGCCGACGTCAGCTGCTACACAACATTAACTCCGAAATTGCCGAAACGAACACTGTTAACTCACGCATTAAATGCGACAACAGCAAAAGCTGTCCGCCACCTGGGGGGAGGGAGGCCACGGTCGATCTTGACCGTCGAGGGCAAGGATCCGTCGGTGCAGCAGGAGCGCCCGTAAAATCCATGGCCGCTTGGAGCAACTACCCGTTCTCCTGGCCGGCAATTGCGCTGCTCCTGTCACTACGGCATTCTTCCCTGTCCCACCCCCCGAGGGCTAATACTCTCTAAAAAATGGGGAAGCTAGGAAAGTAGCTTTGATACCAAGTGTTATGAGTTGTACTAAGAAGAGTGCGCGGAAGACTTTATAAAGAGAACGTGATTACAGAATGTCGAAACAATGAAGAAAGCGAGAATATATAGGGCGAAAACTAGCTAGGCGAGAACCACCAGATTTGTGTGGCTCGGAAATGTCGCAATTGGTGCGAGGCGACTCGGCGTTGGTTCGGTACTGAAGTGTAGGCCGAACCCAAACTGACGCGAACAGTTCGGGCTGTCCTCGCTAGGAGCAGCCTCTACAGTAATGAATGTATATTCATTACAATTCATGTTGCGAGAGCAGGCACGTATCGTCGCTAGCCGTTTCCATTTTTGCGAGATACGGCAAGTACGGTAGATTGATTGGCGAACTAACAGAGCTCCTAGCATCACAGTGACCTGAAACCGGGTCGCTGTGGTTTCAGCGAACCGGGCACGCTTGCTGTTGCGTATTCCCTTGTGCCACTTCTACTCTTTTTGGGGGTCTGGATCGACGCACTGTGAAATCAGTGTGAAAGTTCTGACGCCCGCACAACCCTCGGTCAACGATTCTAGAAAGGGTGTATACCCACTTGCGCAAGTGGGGTTGAAAATAGACCGAAAGAAAATAGCGGTGGTTAGGTGTAGTCGCAGGAGGACAGGACACGTCAGGAGGACGATCCTCAACGCTTCTAGATTGCTGAGATGTGCGGCACCCATTGGGCTTGGGCTTCCGCTATCCGTTCGATTGATTGAAACCACAAAATCAGAGTGACCGGACGTAGCTATGATTCGTCCATGAATTTGCAGATATGTGGCACAGATTCGTTTCCCTTCGTCTTCCCTTCGTCTTCCCTTCGTCTTCCATTCTTTCCTTGCTGAGTGCGAATCCAACAGCAACTCGAAGGTTGGTCGTCACTCCAAATCAACCACCATTCAGCACAGAACAGAAGTACCAGCAAACCTGCCGTCTTTGGGCCGTCTTTTGGGGAGGTTGTGCCCAATGTACAGTGCTTGTGTTCAGCTGAGAATCTCCTGCTGCGCGATTTTCGTACGGTGACAGCAACGTATCGGCGCAGCAGAACATCACCGAGACCCTTTCGTCTGGACAGCTAATGACTGCCCACTTTAGCTCGAATTTGTCGCAAGAGTCAGATTTTATTGACCGTCCTTCTGAGTCGTAGTTTCGTATGAACACCACCAATGCGTGCGTCGGGATGCAAAAAAAAAATCTACGAGTCGTTGGTGAAGTCTTGTGTTTTGTCCAAATGCCGGGGAGGGCGCGCCACGTCATCCGATGAATTCCTTCCGAAGAATTGAGCCAAAACGAATGCTCACCGCCCAGCGTTCCTCCGCGTGCCGGAATCATCGAACAGAAGCATCCTGGGTACTGTAGACATCCAAGAGTCATGGCTCAAGCTCAAGCCGGGCTAGTGCATATCTTCCGCGCGGCGGTAGGACGTACTGAAGCCCAGGGGATGCCTGCCATTGGTCACTGCGTGCAGCGCTACTGTTGCACCCGCAAAGGGAGGGTGGAAGGGCGGAGTTCCAACCGCGGCATCCGGCAGCCTAGGAGGCATCTAGGGCTGAGCGTACTCTGCCAGCCTAGGAGGTCGGACTGAGCCCGGCGGTAGAAGTATTTTAGCGATGGGACTTAACCCATCATCATTCCAGTCCACAAATCATCCCTTTCCACCCTTTCCTGCTTGACCGATTTCAACCGTTAAGCACCTCCTCAAAAACCTCTCCGGGCTGCGTTCTTCGCGAGTTCTCGCTTTCGAGAATCCAGATCAGCCATGGCTGCGTGCGACGTCGCTGCGATGCAACGGTCTGGCCTCAGGCTTGTGCTCGCTGCTGCGCTGGCTGCTCTCATGCTCTCAGGTATGCTCATTCCCTCACCGGCCTTGCGAACAGCTATCTGCGCTTGTAAAGTAAGTTAGTTAGTTAGTCAGCTATCAGCTATCTGCGTTTTTTTTTTTTTTTTTTTTTTTTTTTTTTTCTTTTCTCAGAATTTTCCAAATAAAACTATTGTTGCACATACATGTCTGCATAGTTCCTCGTAAGCCTTAACATCGCCAGCCCTCCTCTGCCCTTCCATCTTGACCATCTCCTCCAACTCCTCCACCCCTTACCACCCCTTCCCACCCCTTCCCCCTCTCTTCCCTGGTCGGTGTCTCCCAGCGTGTGCGCCCAGGGCGGCGGAAGCCCTGCGCCTGGCATGCACTGATCGCAGCTGCGGCGCCAACGCGAGGTGCCTCAAGAGCGTGGCGGGCTGGGCGGACTGCGTGTGCGACAGGGGCTTCAAGCTGCTGCCCAACGCCTCCTGCGCGCGTGAGTGCCTTACCTTTGAGATTTCTCAAAAGGTACTGCGTGTGTGACAGGACAGAGTCTTCAAGTCGCTGCCCAACGCCTCCTGCGCGCGTGAGCTCGCCTTCACCCACCCTTCACCTTCACCCACCCTTCACCTTCACCCACCGTTGTTGCTTTTTACACCCGCTGCTGCCCAATCCAGCGTCCAGCACATGACCTACTGTCGCCCTTGTTTCCTTGCATGCTTCACACACGTACAATTGCTGCCCCTCGTTTCAAACTTTCCCACTCCAACAATTTTTTTTTCTCCTACTCTCCTGTGCGTACTCTTCTGTCCTCCCTCTCGTGCTGCTGTGTGAACCTGGCAGAATTCTGCACGAGCGCGGACTGTGGGGAGAACGGGTACTGTGAGGAGGAGCAGGGGGGGCTCACCACGTGTCGCTGCAACACTGGCTTCGCCAAGACCGCCGACGGCTGTGTTGGTCAGTGCTGCTTGCTATCCCGTGCTGCTTGCTATCCTGTGATGGCATCCTGTGTTTGTGACCACAATAGTCACCTTGCCTGTCCTTGGCTTTGCGCTGGAAGAGGACGGCAGGACACTTGAGTCAACGCAAAAGCTGTGATGGCATCCTGTGTTTTGTCAGCTTGGCTTTGTGCTGGACAAGGATGGCAGGAGGACTGCTGCTGGAGGGGAGGAGGAGGCAAATGTAGGTGTGAACTGCTGCTGATGTGCCATGTGCTGCCGCTGCCATGTGTGCTTTGCTTGCATTCACTGTTGCTGTTGCGATTTCTCTGCTCCCGCCACTCCTCCCTCCCCTGGCAGACACGTGTGTGCTCCTGGAGTGCGGTGTGAACGGGCAGTGCGTGAAGGACGAGGAGGGGGCGGCGTCGTGTGTGTGTGACGCTGGCTTCACGCTGCGAGATGATGGCAAGTCGTGCGCTGGTAAGGCTGCTCTGCGCTGCTAGGCTGCTCTGTGCTGCTATTTTTTAGGCGCCTCTAAGCAAGGCTTCTGCTCTACTGTGCTGCCATGAGTTGGGATTCGAGACCAAACTGCGTGTGTGACGCTGGCTCCACCCTGCGAGATGATGGCAAGTCGTGCGCTGGTAAGGCTGCTCTGCGCCGCCGTGCTCTTTTCGTTCCCTCGCTCTCCCCATCTCCCTCACTCACTCTCTGCCACCGTTCCCTCTTCACCTGCGCCTCCCTGCCTCCCATCGTTGCTGCTAACATTTCAAATATCTGTGCATGTATGCCTGCATGTATGCCTGCATGTATGCCTGCACAGCACATACATGCTTCCAACTTCACCTGCACTCCCTGGCCCCCATTGTGTCTCGCAGAGAATGTCTAAGGGCTGCTGCCGTCTGCTTTTGAGGCGACTCAAACGCACCGCCTGCCTCCCTGCCCCCCGTTGTGTTGAGTTGTGACTCGCAGAGAATGCGCCCAGGTCTGCTGCCATCGTCCTGCCACCTGCTGCGAGCAACCGCCGCTGGTGGGTGCTTTGGAGCCGACTCAAAAGCCCCCTCCTCCCTCCCTGCCCCCCGTTGTGTTGTGTCTCGCAGAGAAGGCGCCCAGGGCTCCAGCCGTCGTCCTGCCACCTGCTGCTAGTAACTGCCGCTGCCCGCGGGGCCAAGAGAAGGACGCGGAGGGCAACTGCGTTGGTGGGTGCTGGTTGTCAGAATAGAGAGGTTGCATCTGCATGCAACATGATTGCTCCTCCTCCACTCCACTCCACTCTGCTGCAGCCTAGCATGGCTTATCATGGCGTAATTTGGTATCTGCATTCCACCTCACAGCTTCTTCATATGGCGTTATGGTTTCTGGCCGCTTGTGCTGTGCATGTGATGATATGGTCAACTGCGTTGGTGGGTGCTAGTGCTGTCAGAATGATTCCATTCGCATGCAGGATTGCTCCACTCCACTCCGCTGCATGCTTATCATGGCGTGATTTATTTGTTATCTGCATTTCAGCTCGCAGCTGTGGTTCCTGCAAATGGCGTTTCTGGCCGGGCCGATTGTGTTGTCGCCGCCCCCACGTGTCTGCCTGCAGACCCATGGACGGTACGCAACTTCGGCCCCAACGCGACATGGGTTATGCCATGACCAAAAGCGGCTGTGTTGATCAGTGCTGTGCTGGAATGTGTGACAAAGTCGATGCGCTTTATTTGTTACAGAGTGGTGGCGGCATGTGGAGTGGCCAGGTAAGGCTGTCGTGTGCTACCATCATTGCGTGCTGTACTGGTAAAATGCGCTTTCAAATTCCATTTGCTTTTACTTAATTATTCCTTCATTTCCTGAAACTTCGCGTTTATTGACCCTGTGACTCCTCCCCTCTCCTGGCAGACACGTGCAAACTGCAGGCATGTGGTGAGAACGGTCGCTGTGTGAAGGATGAGGCGGGGACGGCGTCGTGTGTGTGTGACATTGGCTTCACGCTGCAAGATGACGGCAGGACGTGCACGGGTAAGGACGCTGTGCCGCGCTGTGCCTCGCTGTGCCTTGCTGTGCCGCGCTGTGCCTTGCTGTGCGTTGTTTTGAGACGTCTCAAAACACGTGCATGGGTAAGGATGCTGTGCCTTGCTGTGTGTTGAGGTGTGCTCTTCCTCTCTCCCTCTTCCCTGTTCCCTCTTCCTCTCCCTCTTCCTCTCCCTCTTCCTCTCCCTCTTCCTCTCCCTCTTCCTCTCCCTCTTCCTCTCCCTCTACCTCTTCTTCTCTCGCACGTGCTCTTCCTTGTGCCCGTCCTCTCTTGTGCTCTCTCTCTGCCCCTATTCTCTCTCATCATCCTTGTTTCCTTTCTCGCTCACGCTCTCCCTCAAGGCCTTTGTTCCTTTTCTCCTCCCCAGATAATTGCATCCTTAAGTGGTGTCAGAAGCCCAAAATTTGTAGGAAGATGGAAGACGGCGCGGCGGACTGTGTGTGCAAGCCAGGCCACGCGCCGCTCTACGGCACTTGTGTTGGTACGTTATGTTGTTTTGATACCCTTGGATGGATTACAACCTCCGCCCGCCTCCCCCCCACACCACCTGCGTCCTCTCTCATTCCTTCCTTGCTTCCTCCTTTGCATCGTTTCGCCCGTGCACACTACTATGATTGCTGACTTTTGAGTCGACTCAAAAGTCAACCCGTGCACACTACTATGATTGCTGACTTTTGAGTCGACTCAAAAGTCAACCCGTGCACACTACTATGATTGCTGACTTTTGAGTCGACTCAAAAGTCAACCCGTGCACACTACTATGATTGCTGACTTTGAGTCGACTCAAAAGTCAACCCGTGCACACTACTATGTTTGCTGACTTTTGAGTCGACTCAAAAGTCACCCCGTGCACACTACTATGATTGCATGCTCTCATCTTATTCTGCCCCCACTGTATTTCCGTGCTGTTACATGCCTCTCTATCACACTATGCATCATGCTCATTGTGCTGTCATGTGCTTTGTTGCATGCATGCTGCCATCTATTTTAAACTGCTCCCCTTCTCCCCTCTCTGCCCAGCCCAGCCCAAGCACTAAGCTTCTCCCCTTCTATTCTTCCTCCTCTCCTATCGCACTGACATATTCCCATTATTTCTCCCCCCCCCTTGCGCTCACCAGGGCCGACCACGTGTGGCAACTGCCCGGCCCTGGCCACATGCACGCTGGTCTCGTCCACCAGAAAGGCTCCTTACTGCGTCTGCCCTTCTGGCTTTGGCATGACCGACACTGGTTGCGTCCGTGGTAAGTCACGTGGAATAAGTCACGTCAAGTCAGTCACGTGGTAGGTCATGTGCGACGCCTCAAAACCAACCTTACCTCACCTTACTGCGTCTGCCCTTCTGGCTCTCGCATGACCGCCACTGGTTGCGTTTGTGGTAAGGCCATTATGCTTGCATTCATTTATTACAAATGTTTTTGTGTTTCTGGATAATCAAGGTGCTGGTTAAGCCAGGTTTATTTATCAATGGTGCATACATCCATGTCAAACCTTTACCCCCCTAAACCCATACCCCGTGCCCCATGCCGCACCCCATTTCCCATGCCGCACCCCATTCCCCATGCCGCACCCCATTCCCCATGCCGCACCCCATTCCCCATGCTGCAACACATTTCCCATGCCGCACCCCATTCCCCATGCCGCAACCCATTCCCCATGCCGCACCCCATTCCCCATGCCGCACCCCATACCCCATGCCGCACCCCATTCCCCATGCCGCACCCCATTCCCCATGCCGCAACCCATTCCCCATGCCGCACCCCATTCCCCATGCCCCACCCCATTCCCCATGTTGTACCCCATTCCCCATGCCGCACCCCGTTCCCCATGCCGCACCCCGTTCCCCATGCCTTACCCCATACCCCATGCCACACCCCATACCCCATGCCACACCCCATACCCTGATCTTCTGTTCTCCCTTTTTCTGTTTGTCTTTCAGGCGCCCTCCCAACCATCTCCTCAGCGAGTCTCACCTTGTATAACCAGCCTGGATATGCCTTGACGCCCTACACCTTCACCATGCGTGTGAACCACGTCGGATGCACCAACCTGCCTTATTACTATCTCCACCCGCAACCCCCTCCCCTCCAGGAGCCTCCCCAACCGTCTCCTCTGCGAGTCTCACCTTCTACAGCCAGCCGGAATATGCCTTGACGCCCTCCACCTTCACCATGCGTGTGAGATACTCCGGATGCACCAACCTACCTTCAACAATCGCTCGCAACGTCCGGTCGTACTGGCGGGTGGACCGGGCACCGGGAGGAGCGGGGCACTGCCGGTTTGTCAACGTGTATCGCTATGCCAACTGTGTTACGCTGGTGGCTCAGCTGCCTGCCCTCTCACTCACCAGCATCGATGCAGAGGGTGTCTCGTAAGTCATTACACCCAACCCAACCCGACCCGATCCGATCTGGTGTTTTCCATGTATTTGTCTCATTCCTGCCCTGCTTCAAAATCGTTATTAATTCTTGAAGCCACTCTCATGCCATGCTGAGAAGCCACTCAATACCATGCTGCCATGCACACCCACTTCTCCTCATGTGCGCTCGCTCCCTGCATGGACCCGTTTCTTTCTTTGTGTGCCTCTCAACAGACCCACATCAGCTGGCATGCTGTCTTTCATGTGTGTCCGCTAATCACTACACTTGTGGAATGCTTATAAAGACCAGCAATCTAATTCGTTAACATGAAGTGATGCTGCTTTTGAAGACAAAACGGCGGTTTGAGTCTGCAGTTTGATTGATGAAGTTAGACCAGCTTGATGAAGGGGTCTGCTCTTTGTCTCTTGTTTGTTCTACGCTTTTCCACCCTCGTAGGTATCTCTTTAAATATTTTTTCTTCCTTTTTGAGGGTGGTGTGTGCACTTGTGTTTTTGTGTTAGTGTGTATGTGTGGGTGTGTGAAATGTGCGCATGATTTTTTTATGTAGAATTGCATGTGATCGATGATTATTAAATATTGTAGACAAATTCTCATCTCAACTGACAAGCTGTTAATGGCACTTAGCCCTTGGTGACAAACCATTTACGACCACAAACACCTGAGGGAAGGTGATGAAGTGTGCATAAGCAAAGACGGTTTCAAGAATCGGACTGAGAATAACGATTATGGAGTTGATGTAATCAGGCCCTCAGATTGCAGGAATTTTTCCCTGATTTGAGCTTTGAACACTGATTTTCAGGGTGTTTTTTGGACCCTGCGCATTCTGAGATGGTATCAGCAGTAGGTTCGCCGTTCCTAGGCCACACCTAGTCTCCGCCGTTCCTAGACTTAAGGCTCCCTTAGCCTTGGTGTGCCCCCCCCCCGGTCTGCCCTAAGCGCGCTAGCCAGCAGGCCCGCCAGCGCCCTAGCCAGCAGGCCCGCCAGCGCGCCCCGCCAGCGCGCCACGCCAGCGCGCCACGCCAGCGCGCACGCCAGCGCGCCCCGCATGCGCGCACGCCAGCGCGCCCCGCCAGCGCGCACGCCAGCGCGCCACGCCAGCGCGCACGCCAGCGCGCCCCGCCAGCGCGCCCGCCAGCGCGCCCGCCAGCGCGCCCCGCCAGCGCGCACGCCAGCGCGCCCCGCCAGCGCGCACGCCAGCGCGCCCCGCCAACGCGCCCGCCAGCGCGCCTCGCTAGTGCGCACACCAGCGCGCCCTGCAAACGCGCACGCCAGCGCGCCGCACCGCCAGCCCGTAGACCCGCCGCGCCGCTCGCCGGCCAGCGCGCCGCGCCGCCAGCCAGCTAGCGCACCGCGCCGCCCGCCTGTCCGCATGCCGTGCCACCTGCCCGCCTTCACGCCTGCGCGCCTGCCCACACGCCACTGACTGTCTCACCCTCCCGCGGCTGGCAGCCGCGCTCTCCCACTTTCGCCCCTTATGGCGACCTCCCGAGTACTTCGTTTCGACCCTGAAGGGCGACCTATAGATTTTAGCACGTGGCTTACGCAGGCGCAGCGCCACCTTAAGAGCCAGCGGCAGGATGGCGTGCACTTGTTCGCAAACGCGTTCGGCACTCAGAAAGCCCCTCCCCAGCCTCAGCCGCTGCCCACTACTCCTCCGCCTACTTCTGAGCAGGAGGCCGACTGTCAGCGCCAGCTCCTCGCTCGCGATGTGTGGGAGTCTCGTGACGCCGCTGCCTGCCTCGCCCTGACCGACCTTCTTCCGCCGACAGAGGCAGTCCACTTCGCTCAGGTCGAGTCTGCTGCAGATCTGTATAAGGCTATTGTTGCTCGCTACTCCACTCCCTCCTCTGCGTCGCTCAGTCGCCTCCTCGTACCCTTTATCTACCCTGACCTCGCCTCCTTTGAGACTGTCTCTGACCTCGCTACCCACCTGCGCTCCCTTGACGCTCGCTTTCGCGCTGCTTGCACTGAGGACCAGCTTGCCCTTGCCCCGCCCCCTATGTGGCTCACTATTCACTGGCTATTCACTCACCTTCCTAACCGCCTAGCCACAGCCCGCAACGCCCTTCTTCTGAAGCACCCCACTGAGCTTACCATCGATCTTCTTGAGACTGCTCTCTCGAAGATCGAGAGTAACCTCCTCGCTGTTGCCTCTGCCTCTTCCGCGCCTCCTCCTCGTCTTTTTGAGGGGTGTGCGGTACCACAGCTTCCCACCTTCTCTGCCTCCCTTGCCACTCCCACGTCTTCTGCCTCTGAGGAGACGGCGGCCGTTTCTGTCTCTGGCGGACAGAAACGTGGCAAGGCTGGTAAGAGGGGCGGGAAGGGCGGCGGGGGTACTGGAGGTGGTGCGGGTAGTGGCGGTGGCGGTGGAGCAGGTGGTGGGAGTGGTGGTGGGGGTGGCTCGGGACCTGACGGCCCTCCTTTCGACGGTGGAGTTTTCACTGGTGGTGAGGGGTTCCAGCAGCAGCAGCAGTCACCTCCCCAGCAGCTGCCACCGCCTGGACAGCAGCAGCGGCAGGGACAGCAGCAGCAGCGACAGGGCCAGCAGCAGCGCCCGCCACAGCAGCAGCCTCAGCAGTGGGGCCCTCCGCAGCAGTGGGGCCCTCAGCAGCAGTGGAGGTCTGCGGGTCCCCCGAGCACTGGGCGCAGTGGCGGCCCCTCTAGTCGGGAACCTCGCTCGGCCGGCCGCGACGTTGGTCCCTGTGAGTACTGGATCCTTACGGGTCCTCGTCGGGACTCGTACTGTGGCCGCCCCGACCACTCTGCTGCACGCTGCTTCAGTCGTCTCGACGACCTCTACCTCTTGCACCACGGCCCCTCCGCTCCCCCGCCGCCACGCTGGGGGACACTTCTTGCTCGTGGTATTGCTGTTTTTGATATGACTATGGATGATGCTAGGTCTTATGCCATGTATGCTGATGTTGACTATAGTGCTCCTGGATCTGTGTACTTGCCTGTACCTAGCTTAGGATTTTTGTCTGTTGCTAGAGTAGGTGCTAGTGTAGGATCTTGTTTAGCTACTAGTACAGGTACTCCCTTAACGGACGCGTCTCTCCTTCACACTGGACTCAGGAGCGACGCAGTGCTTCTTCCGCGACCGCACGACTCTCTCTCCACTACCGGCGCCAGTCTCCATAGCACTGGCCGATCCTACTTCGAGACCGGTCATTGCCACTCACGCCACTACTCTCCCGTGCCCAGCTGCCCCTTCCGGTTCCCTGACTGGCCTCCACGTTCCTACGTTCTCTAGGAACCTGGTTGGTGTGGGCCCCCTGGCGAGACAGCACGTCGGGGTCTGGGTTGAGCCTTCTGGTGACACTGCAGTCTGTGTGGACGGTGACACGTACGCCCCCTTGGCCACTTTTCGCCAGGAGCCGGGCTCCGGTCTGTACACCCTCCACACCGACCCCCGTCAGGTTCCTCCGTCCCACTAGGACGCCAGGTCCAGTCCGGTTGCTGTGTCTGGTCTAGTTGCTGCGTCTGGTCAGGTCCCCGCGTCAGGTCCAGTTGCCACGTCGTGCTCCTGCCGGTCGCTTGCTCACCCCACCGTTCTGTGGCACCACCGCCTTGGTCACCCGTCCCTCTCTCGTCTCCGCGCTATGTCCAGTCAGCGTCTTGTCTTAGGCCTCCCTCACGTCCTCCCGTCGCTCCCGCCGTCCCCAGCTCCTCCGTGCGGTCCTTGTGTCCAAGCTCGGCTGCGCGCCACCCCTCACTCCTCCTCCATTCGCCCGGCCACCGAGCCCTTCGAGACACTCCACTTAGACGTCTGGGGCCCCGCTCGCCGTCTTGGCCCTGAGCGGGAGAGTTTCTTTCTGGTGGTCGTTGACGATTACTCTCGGTACACCACCGTGTTCCCTTTGGCGAAGAAGTCCGACGTGACTTCTACGCTGATCCGGTGGCTGCTCGCCACCGAGAGTACTCGCCGTCGTCGTGTCAGTTGTCTCCACTCCGACCGTGGGGGTGAGTTTTGCTCCGGCGTACTCGCCAGATTCTGTGTTGAGCAGGGCATCACCCAGTCCTGGACTCTTCCAGACTCTCCACAGCAGAATGGGGTTGCTGAGCGCCGCTTAGGCCTGGTCATGGAGATCGCCCGCACCTCCATGATCCACGCCCGCGCGCCCCATTTTCTGTGGCCCTACGCGGCTCGGTACGCCGCTCACCAGCTGAACCTCTGGCCTCGCGTCTCTCGGCCAGGGGCTTCACCGACCAGTCTTTGGACAGGGTCTCCTGGTGTTGCGTCAAGGTTTAGTGTATGGGGCTGCTTGGCTCTTGTCCGCGACACCTCCGCGGACAAGATCTCACCTCGCGCCGTCCCCTGTGTCTTCCTTGGTTTCCCAGAGGACTCCTCTGACTTCACCTTTTACCACCCTCCCTCCCACCGGTTCTTTGACTCTCGTGACGTCCGTTTCGACGAGTCCGTCCCCTACTACGTCCGGTACCCCTGTCGAGGTCTCCCGGTTCCCCCCCCTCCCCTCTTCCTGGCTCTTGCTCCTCCTCCTCCCGCCCCTGCTCCTCCGGTACCCCCCCCTGTTCCCGCTCCGTCTGGTGTGTCCCACGCTACTCCCCCCCCCCTCGGTACCCCCCCAGGTCTCTCCTCCTTCCCCACAGTCGTCCTCACAGCCTCCGCAGCAGCCGCCAGCGCTTCCTTTACCGGCCACTGCGGACTCTGAGGGTGTTGGTGCTCGAGGTGAGGGCTCTGGAAGTGCTCGCTCTGGGGGCGCTGGTGTTGGAGCTGTTCGCGCACCTACATGAGCAGCCCGTTCTGGGGGTGTTGGCGTTGACACTGAGCGTGCACCTGCCGCAGCTGCCCGTTCCGAGGGTGCTGGAGCTGGTGGTGTTTCTGGAGCTGGAAGGTCTGGGGTTGGTGCTGGTGCCACTGGAGGCACCACGACTGGGGGTGCGGGTGCGCCTCCTACTGGTGCTGGTCGTGCTGCCGCGGGAGGTACTCGCTCTGGGGGTGCTCAGCCGGGTACTGCTGCGGACGGAGCCGGTTCTTCTGCTGCTTCTCCTGACACCACTCCTCCTCCTCACCCCTACCCGACTCGTTACCAGGCCCTTCTTCGTCTTGAGCGTGAGGAGCAGCAGCGTTTGGAGCGTGAGAGGTCGGAGGTTCAGCAGCGGGTGGAGCGTGAGAGGTTGGAGTTGCAGCGGGAGCAGCAGCAGCAGCGGCAGCAGCAGCAGCAGCAGCAGCAGCAGCAGCACAGCCACCACAGCAGCAGCAGCGGCCGCAGCACCCGGAGAAGCCACCGGCCCCTATTTCTGGCCTTCGGGCCCTTGGTCTCCCCTCCTCTCCTCCTGTGTTCGGTCCTACGTTTCCTCCTCCGGACTCAGCTCCGGCTGTGTTCCCTCGTTCTCAGTCTCCTCCGTCTCCCCCTCCTCTCACCCACACTTGGACCTCTCGTCCTCCTCGTGCTCGTCCCTCATCACCTGCCACTGACCTTCGTACTGCGTTGTTTTGTTCTAGTCCTCCTCGTCCTCCTCAGTCTGTTCTTCCTCGTCCTCCTGAGTCGTCCCTCACTGCCTCCCTGTCCACTCCGGTCTCTGACTACTACCGCACGTACCGCCCCACTCTCTCTCGTGTTCTCGCCTCTCTTGTTACAGACCCTCGTGCCTCTCCTTCCTCCGTCGCGGTCCTCACTGCCGCTGTCACTGACTTTACTGCTACGCGTCGCCTTGACTACGCCACTCGTGTTGTGGCCGCTCCTCCTGTCCGTCCTCTGTCCGCCGGGGGTGAGTCTGCCCTTGGCTGTGACGTCCTAGAGGACAAACAATTTGAGCTAGAGTTCCTGACAGCTGCTTCGTCTCATCTCTGTGCCATGCTCCTCGCTCCTGAGGGAGACCCCGACGCTCCTGACATACCTACTCCTCGCACTTACGCTGAGGCAGTGTCAAGGCCTTGGGCCTCTCAGTGGAGAGCTGCCATGGACGCAGAGATGGCCTCCTACAGGTCCACAGGCACTTACGTTGACGAGGTTCCCCCCCCAGAGACGAACATCGTTGACGGCATGTGGATCTTCAAGGTGAAGCGGCCGCCGGGATCTCCTCCAGTCTTCAAGGCACGCTACGTGGCTAGAGGGTTCAGTCAATGTGAGGGAGTTGACTTCTTTCAGACCTTCGCGCCCACCCCGAAGATGACCACTCTTCGGGTGTTACTACACGTAGCAGCGCAGAGAGACTACGAGCTACACTCTCTTGACTTCTCCACTGCCTTCCTCCAGGGCCGCCTACACGAGGAGATCTGGCTGCATCGTCCTCCGGGCTTCACTGGCACTTTCCCGCCTGGGACCCAGTGGAGCCTCAGACGACCGGTCTACGGTCTCCGCCAGGCACCCCGTGAGTGGCACGACACTCTCCGCTCTACTCTCTCCGAC